CCCCTGAAGTGCATTCGCTCGAGAACTCGGCCGATCGCTTCCCGGGTGAATCCCAGCCCCAGGGCGCCGCCGACGCCGATGCCCGAACCCTCAGCCTCTGTTCCCCCGGCTCTCGGGGCTCCGGCTGCCTGCTTTCGGCGGCTCACAGCCCCGGGCCGGGCCAGGGACCCGGAATGGGCACAGCCACCCAGGGCTGCCAGGCGGCGGGGCCTGGTCTCCTCTCGGCCGGCCGGGCCCCGGGGGCTGAGCTTTTCCTGTGGGGCCCGGTGGTTGCTGCTGGACAGACACCGCCGTAACCCACAGGGTCAGGGTCAAGGTCAGGAGACACAGGCCCCGGGGTGGCAGAGGTCATGCGAGGTTGGGTAGGTCGGGTCAAGGAGGATCTAGCAGGAGGAGACAGGGCAGGGGCAGTTGAGGCCACAAGGGATGCTGGGAAGGGATGGGGGTAGGTTAGGTCTTTTTTTTTTTTTTTAATTTCTTTCTTGATTAAGGTATTACATATGGATCCTTATTCCCCATTACCCCTCCCACCTCCCGTTCAACCCCCTGCCGTCTGTGTCCATTGGTTAGGCTCATATGCATGCACACAAGTCCTTTGGTTGATCTTTCCCCCTTACCCCCACCCTCCCCGATCTCCCCTGAGGTTTGACGTTCTGATGGCTGTTTCTCTGTCTCTGGATTTGTCCCTGTTCATCCGTTTATGTTGAAGTTCAGAATTATATTCTACAAATGAGTGAGATCGTGTGGTATTTATCTTTCTCTGCCTGGCTTATTTCACTTAGTCTAATGCTCTCCATCTCCATCCATGTTGTTAAGAACTTCCTCTTGTTTACTGCAGCATAGGGGGCAGGGGTAGGTCGGTCTCTCTCTCTCTCTCTCTCTCTCTCTTTCTCTCTCTCTCCCTCCCTCCCTCTCTCTCAGGAACCAGCCCAGAAGAGTTTACCAGGTGATTATTCCAGGATTTATCTGATCAGATTACCTGGCTGCTCCCCAGGGGGTGGGCGGTGGATACGTTTCAGTGGAGGAAGGAGAGGGGAGACAGGAGGAAGGGTAACTTGGGCCTTTATCCCAAGGTAACTCCGGACTCCTGGGGGCGGGGGCGTGCAGGGGGAAGTTTTCCCTGTGGGTTCCTGCCCCAGCCGCAGCCTCTGCTGGCTGCTCCCAGGTGAGTCCGTCCCCTGGCCTACGGGCACCTGGCAACCTGTGGCCCAGAAACCTGGGCCTGGATTCCCTGCTCTGCACACCCTCCCTCTCACCCTCAGGTTCCTCAACAAACGGCCGGACCTTCCCCGCTGGAGGGTCCCGGGGGCTTAAAGGAAAAGCCAGATCCGAAAAGGCCTTGTCGACTGGGAAGCGCTGAACCCACTCTGTTTCCCTCTGAGTAGGTGGGACACTGAAGGGTCTTAGGCGCAGGGTCCCGGCCACAGATCCAGCAAAGAAGGCAGCCAGGCCCTGCCCTGCGCCAAAAGCTGATGATTCCTTCATCTTCTTATATATAATTAAAAAATATATTTTATTGCCGTTTTATAGAGAGGAAGGGAGGAGGGATAGAGAGTTAGAAACATCGATGAGAGAGCCCTGGCTGGTTTGGCATCAGTCTGCTGACTGGGGAGGGGGTCCCAGGTTCGATTTCAGCCAAGGGCACATGCCCAGTTTGTGGGCTGGATCCCCAGTAGGGGGCGTGCAGAAGGCAGCCGATCGGTGATTCTCTTGCATCACTGATGTTTCTAGCTCTTTCGCCCTCTCCCTTCCTCTCTGAAATCAATAAAGAAATATATTTAAAAGAAAAGAAAAGAAAGAAAGAAACATCGATGAAAGAGAAACATCGATCAGCTGCCTCCTGCACACCTCCCACTGGGGATGTGCCCGCAACCAAGGTACATGCCGTTGACCGGAATCAAACCTGGGACCCTTTAGTCCATAAGCCGATGCTCTATCCACTGAGCCAAACCAGTCAGAGCTACAATTTTTTTTTTAAATTGATTTCAGAGAGGAAGGGAGAGGGGGAGAGAGATAGAAACATCCATGATGAGAGAGAGTCATCGATCCTCCCTGGGGATCGAGCCTGCAACCCGGGCCTGTGCCCTTCACTGGGAATTGACCCGTGACCTGCCGGTTCATAGGCCGATGCCCAACCACAGAGCCATACCAGCCAGGCCAGCATCCATGTACTGAACAGCCTAGATGTGTGCTAGATACTCTGCCGGGGGCAGCGGGCTCCTGGGGGCTCCGGGGTGAGCAGCCCAGGGCCCGATGCCCCAGGGCTGATGGTCTAGCCGGGTAAAGGCCGAGTAAGCAGGGCCACATCGAGGTCCGGCCGGTCCCCGGCGCCTCCTCCTCTCCCCGCCTCTCCCGTTCTGGTCACGCATCCCACCACCCACCAGCACCACGTGGCTCGCGCCTCTGTGTCCCCGAGGAACGAATGGAACGTTCTATTTTCCTCCCGCCCCACATTTCCAGTCCCAGTTCCAGCGCCACGCCTTCCCGGAAGCTTCAGAGGGGATTCCTCCAATCCCAAACGGACGGCCCCCTCCTCTGGGCGACTTCCCGGTGGGTCACCGGCCACCTCTCCTGGGGACGCACCCTGGGCCCTTGCTTTGTAGGTGAGGGTGCCAATGCGTCTTATCTTTGGAAGGAAGAGCCGGGTGGGATCTGGTTCATTCAGGTCCTCAGAACAGTGCCTGCGGCCTGGTACCCAGTGAGAGGGAAGAATGGCCCCAGGCCTGTGCCGTAGGTACCCTGTTCCCCCCGAAAATAAGACAGTGCCTTATATTAATGTTTGCTCCCAAAGATGCGCTAGGTCTTATTTTCAGGGGATGTCTTATTTTTTCCATGAAGAAGAATACGGTACACATTGATTGTTAAATGAAAATAAAGGAAATGTATTACCTGTATACGGTACGGTAGTACGGTAGTTGTCAACACAAACCAGACAAACTGTGGATCCTACAGTATCAAGAATTTACTCATTTATTCCATGACAATCATGACATCATCTTCTGGAACATCATCCTAACAATCCAATTCCTGAATTTCCTAGTGAATTTCTTGTGGCTCCATTTCTTTCAGAATCAGTGGACCAAATCTCTCATGTTTAGCCTAGGGGGGGGGCCTTATTTTCGGGGGGGGGGGGAATGTCTTATATTTCACTCAGAAGGAAACCTGTAAGTAGGTCTTATTTTCGGAGGATGTCTTATATTCGGGGAAACACGGTAGGTAGGAGTGGGGAGGGCTGTGGGGCTCAGAGAGGAGGAAATGGGCTCATCCTACTGGAGAGGGGAGGGGCTGTGACTGGGGTATATGGCAGGACAGTCAGACCTGTAGCTGCACACGGGAACCCCCAGCTCTGACCTCCGGGTGTAAGGAGGGGAGAGGGTGAGGAAGCAGATAAGCTGTTAGCAAGCTTCACGTCACTGGGCTGTGACTTACCCGTTTTTATTTATTGTACAAGGATCTCAGAGAGGAAGGGAGAGGGAGAGAGAGACAGAAACGCCCAGGATGAGAGAGAATCATGGATCGGCCGCCTCCTGCACGCCCCACACTGGAGAGTGAGCCCGAAACATGGGCATGAGCCCCGACCTCCTGGGCCGAGGTCGGCAAACTCATCGGTCCACAGAGCCAACTCTCAACAGCACAACGATTGACGTTCCTTTGGAGAGCCACGTTTTTCAAACGTAAACTTCTTCTAACTGGGAATTGACCTGTGACCTGCCGGTTCATAGGCCGATTGACGGTCCCGGGGGCTTAAAGGAAAAGCCAGATTGAGGGTCCCGGGGGCTTAAAGGAAAAGCCAGACTCTCCCGTGATTCTTCAGCACAGACTCGCCCAGGCCGTGGTGTTCTGTGGAGGAGCCACACTCAGGGGGCCAGAGAGCCGCAGGTGGCTCGCGAGACGCGGTCTCCCGACCGCTGTCCGGGGCCATAGGTTCAGCCACTGAGTCGCAACGGCTGGGCCAGGCGGCCCAAGACCTTCTCCCTTCTTGTCCACCCTGCACCCTCCCCACACCCCAAGCCCCCACCCACCACCCCACCACACCCAACCCCTGCCGTGGTGGGATCCTGGCCGGCCCCGCCGCCGAAGGGAGGCTGTGCGGGGCAGCACGGGAGTGACCCCAGGGGAGAGCCTGTGCCCGGCCCTGCCCTCAGCTCCCTTACCCGCTCCCGCCGACGGCAAGTCCAGAGTGTCCGCCTCCCCGGAGAGGATGGAGGAGCTCGGACCCGGACAGGTGACGCGGCCCGCTGCCTGGGCTCAGCGACGTGGAGGATGTAGAATGCGAACCGGGCCTCGGCAGCATCCCCCCGCGCTGGCCGAGGGTGCGAGCAGCTCAGGGCCAGCTCGCAAAGTGCCTGCCGGGAGGGTCAGGTCTGGGGTGGCAGAGCGACAGAGACGAGGTCCTTCCTCGCCCCCTCGGCCTGCCTGACCCGGGGGAGGAGGGGGGCCGATGAGGACCAGCCACCCCTGCCCCCCGGGCTCAGGTCAGCCAGGGAGGCCAGTCAGGGTGCCGGCTAGGCCGAGAGCACCTGATCCCTCCACACACACACCCCTAGTGGCACCCCAGGCAAGCTCCCTGCATCTGGGGGGGAAGGGGGGAGGAGAGGAGAGATCCTGTGCCACAGAGATCTGATCGATCGTACAAGAGCCCGTTATACAGAACGCAGACGACGGGGAAACTGAGACCCCGGGAGCTCAGGTGTCTGGCCCCGGGCCACGCCGAGAGCTGGAGATAAACCGGGGACTGGAATCCAGACTTCCTGCTCCTCCGATGCCCTCTGGCCTGGGCTTGGCCGGGGCGCTCCCCTGCCGACCTCCGGAGGGCGAAGGGGAGTCCGAGCATCCTCCCCCGGCCCCGCCCCTGGGGATCCTTTAAAAGGCGGGGCTTGGCGGCCGGCCAGCGGCCCCGGCTAAAGGCTGGGACGTCGGAGACTCCGACAGCAGAGCCAGCCCGAGCTCCATCCCGCAGCAGCCGCCGCCGGCCCAGCCCAGCCCGAGCCCGAGCCACCATGAGCGGGAGAGTCGGCGACCTGAGCCCCAAGCAGGAGGAGGCTCTGGCCAAGGTGAGCCCCGGCGGTGGCCCCATCCCTCCGTCCCCGGCGAGCCCGGGAGCTCTGGGCGCGGGCGAGCGTCCATCCTCGGTCCCAGGCGGGCGGGCAGCGGCGGGAGCGGCAGCTGGAGACACCTGGGGCCCGCGGGCGCCCCCCGCCGAGGGGCCCGGGGAAGTGGGCGCACCCCGGCCGGCCCCAGCCCTGGCGAGCCCCCCGGGGTGCCACCTGGGGGGACGCGGTGGCCCAGAAGCCTGGGAGGCGGCTCAGGGCACAAAGGCGACATTCATCCCGGGACTGGCAGCCGGGCGGCCCGGGCCCCGGGCTCCGGGCGTTTCCGGGAGCATTTCCTGCGGCCGGGCAGGGGCCCCGATGGGAAGGGCCCCGGACAGCTCCCAGGGTGGCCCCCGGCCCCGAGGTCCGCGTCCCCCGGCGACCGTGGGCCAGCCCGCCCGTCCTGCGTCTCCGTGACCGGCCGGGGAGGAGGCTGGACCAGACGCGGGCGGGGAGGTCTGGGATCCCTGCCGGGACTCAGGGGTTGGGGTTCCCGGGGGCCGGTCCCGCCGAGGCTGGTCCGAGGCTCTCTCTCTTCCGGGCCTGGCTCTGCCCTGGCACTTGGGCAGAGGGCACCCCCTCCCCTGCCCACCCCCTGGATCTCCACGTCCCTGTCGCCCGGGGGAAGAGGGGAGGTTCGCTGTTCTTTTTCCTTTTCTTTTCTTTCTTTTTTTTCTTTTTAAATGTTATTAGTGATGTCAGAGAGGAAGGGAGAGGGAAAGAGACATAGAAACATCATGATGCGAGAGAATCACGGATCGGCTGCCTTCTGCACGCCCCCCACTGGGGATGGAGCCTGCGACCCCTGGGCATGTGCCCTTGACCGGAATTGAACCCGGGACCCTTCGGGCCACAGGCTGGCGCTCTATCCACTGAGCCACACCGGCTAGGGCCGTGGTCGGCAAATGGCGTCTCGCGAGCCACATGCGGCTCTTTGGCCCCTGGAGTGTTCAGCAAAGGCCAGCTTAGGAGTACCCTCATTCAGTTAACAACAATTTTTAAAAATATATTTTATTGATTTTTTTTTTTTTTTTTTTTTTTACAGAGAGGAAGGGAGAGGGATAGAGAGTTAGAAACATGGATGAGAGAGAAACACCGATCAGCTGTCTCCTGCACCCCCCCACCCCCACCCCCCACTGGGGATGTGCTTGCACCAAGGCACATGCCCTTGATGGGAATTGAACCCGGGACCCTTCCGTCCGCAGGCCGACGCTCTGTCCACTGAGCCAAACCGGTTCTGGCAATAACAATTTCTTAAGTTTAAAAAATGTGGCTCTCCAAAGAAATGTCGATCGCTGTCCTTTTGATACTTGGCTCTGTTGCCTCATGAGTTTGCTGACCCTAGCTAGGGCCAGGGTGGCTGTTCTGGAGCCAGAAGGGCCGATGGGGTCTGGTCTCAGGGTTTGCAGGCTCCGTGGCCGGGCACGGTGAGGGGAACAGAGGCCGAGGCAGGGCCCAGGAAGGCTTTGGACAGGCCGGGCCGCCCCCTCCCGGGGAGACTGGAAAGGAAGGTTCTGGGTGGTACTGGCAACGGGCAGGGGAAGCCAGGCAGACAGGGGATTTGGTGAGGTGGTGATTTCACTGGGACGGGGGCCAGGGAGGGTCCTGGGTCGGCGGTGGCTTCGTGCCTGGGCCCTGGCTGAGCAGGGTGCCCAGGCTTCGGGCAGCCGTCGGGGGATGGGTGGTCTGAGTCCTGGGCTGACCCGGGCCAGGGCAGAGGTGGCGGTCCTGATTGGCCCGTCGGCGGCTGCCCCGGGGTCAGGGACAGGGGGAGATGACGGCGGGGAGCATTGGGCTGGGGAGGGCCGGCAGCAGGTGTGCTCACACACAGGGTGGCGAAACGTTGGAAGGGGGCGTGGCCAGGCCTTGGGGTCACTGTCCACGTTCCCGTGTGACACTCCCTGCACCTTCCCACCGTCCTGGCTTCCCGCTGGACTGTTCCCTCCCCCCGGAGAGCCCCCTCCCTCCTCCCACGGCCTTCGATGTCCTTCAAGACCAGCTCAAATGCCATTTTAAAAAATATTTTTTTATTGCCCTGACTGGTTTGGCTCAGTGGATAGAGCGTCGGTCGGCCTGCGGACTGAAGGGCCCCAGGTTCAATTCCCGTCAAGGGCATGTACCTTGGTGCAAGCACATCCCCAGTGGGTGGGGGGGGTGGTGGTGCAGGAGGCAGCTGATCTATGTTTCTCTCCCATCGATGTTTCTGACTCTCTATCCCTCTCCTTTCCTCTCCGTAAAAAAATCAATTAAAAAAAATCTATTTAAAAAAATAGATTTTTAAAATTGATTTCAGAGAGGAAGGAAGAGGGAGGGAGAGACAGAAACATCCATGTTTGAGAGGCAATCACCGATCAGCTGCCTCCTGCACGCCCCCCCCCCCCCGACCCCCATGGGGCATCAAGCCCCAAACCCGGGTATGTACCCTGACCAGGACTCGGACCTGGACCTCTTGGTTCATAGGTTAGCGCTTAACCACTGAGCCACGCCAACCGGGCTCAAATGCCATTTAAAAAAGAAAGAAAGAAAGGAAAAAAAAGCCATGTGAGACCCCCTGTTGCTGGCTGCGGTCAGAATCAAACTCCCCTTTCCCTCTCCTCTGCCCAGAACATTGCTCTCCTCCATTGCTTAGTGGGGTTTGGGGGGGTTTTGTGGGGGACAGGCATGCTCTGGCCTCTGACAGACCCGGGTTTGCATCCAGCTCTGCTGTTTCACCTCGGGCATGTTTCTGAACCTCTCTGAGCACTGATCCCCGCCTCTGCAAAACGGGGACAGCAATCCTTCTCGGGACTCTGAGGGAGGCAGGAACAAGACACGAGCCGAGCTCAGCACTGGGCATGTGGGGGACACCTGGCCAGCGACTGCGGCGGGTCCCACCTGGTCTACGTCTCCGTTCGCCGAGAAGACACCGCCAGCCCACCCTGTGGAGGGGGGGCAGGCATGCAGCCAGGCAGGCCCAAGGTCTCACTCCCTCCCACCCCCTCCCGCTGCCCGGCTCCCACTGGCGCGGCAGACAGAGTGCCCGTGCAGCCCCAATGCTCAGCCAGCGCCTGCTGAGCTGGCTTGGGGTGAAGGGGGGTGGGGGGGGGCCAAGGCCAGCAAAGCCCCGGTGGAGAGTCCTGGGCAGAGGGCAGCTGGCCGGACCTGCCCCTCACCCCGTGCCTCTCCCTGCAGTTTCGGGAGAACATCCGGGACGTGCTGCCCGCCCTGCCGGACCCAGATGACCATTTCCTGCTGCGCTGGCTCCGAGGTGAGGGGGGAGGGGCTGCGGGGGGGCTGGGGCAGGGCTCCTTCGGGGTCACGCCACAGCACCCTCCGGAAACCCCGGGCCTGGCGATCTGAGGACCCGGAGTCGCCAACCCTCAGGGGCAAAAGGGCCCCTGGCAGTTACATAGCCTCCCCCTCCTTCTGGTTAGATAACAGGAGGCTCAGAGAGGTGAGGCAACTCGCCCCACGCCACACAGCACTTGAGCTGCCGGCCAAGAGTGCAAAGAGTGGGGACGAGAGTCCCGTTGGCCGAGGCCCAGCCCAGCGCCCTCCCATCCCGCTGCCGATGGGCTCTCAGCTCGAGAAAGGCCCCAGGCATGTGGGACGTGGGAGGCGGAGGCAGGCCTAGAACCAGGGTCCCCCCGGCGTCTGGGAGAGACCGGGCTCCCCGTGGCCTGTTGGGAGGCAGGCCTCCCAGCTGCGACCAGCTCGGAGGTGGGGGCCATGGGGAGACTCGGCCTGAACCACCGCCGCCGGGCACCAGAGTCCCGAGTGCCAATTCTCCTCCGGCTCCAGCCTGGCTGTGGCCCCTGGGCCAGGGGTGAGCATCTACCGTTGCCCCCACTCCCCTCTGGGACAGCAGGACGAGACAGGGCTCCCTGCCCGTTGTAGCATGTGACGTGGCAGAGCTCTGAGCATCGGGGTCAAACTCAACCGCCACCCTAATGCCTGACATCCTTCTGTTCGTGACCCTCCCCTCTCCTGAGATTCCAGTCCCCTGCCTTTTTTTTTTTCTTCTTTTTAAAAAAAAAAAATATTTTATTATTATTTTTTTTTTTACAGAGAGGAAGGGAGAGGGAGAGAAAGTTAGAAACATCAATGAGAGAGAAGCGTCGATCAGCTGCCTCCTGCACACACACACACACACACACACACACACACACACACACGGGAATGTGCTCACAACCAAGGTACATGCCCTTGACCGGAATTGAACCTGGGACCCTTCAGTCCGCAGGCTGATGCTCTATCCACTGAGCCACACCAGTTTTGGTGAGTCACCTGCCTTTCTCTCTGGCTCTTGTGACACTTTTTCCCCCCATGTTTTTTTTTTTTTTTTTTTTTTTTAATATATTTTTATTGATGTCAGAGAGGAAGGAAAAGGGAGAGAGAGAGAGAAACATCACTGATGAGAGAGACTCATGGATCGGCTGCCTCCTGTTCGCCCGAAAGCTGGGCATGTGTCCTGACCAGCAATCGAGCCGGGACCTCCTGGGTTCATAGGTCAATGCTCAGTCACTGAGCCACACCGGCTTGGCGCACTCCCCGCCCCCCTTTCCTTCTTTATAGAAACTTTATTACGAGACATAAACATAATAGAGAATAAACTCCACTTTCTTTAGATTAGCAGAGATTAGGTTGTGATGTGGGACCATAGTTCAAAAATTAAAGTACAAATCAGGCCTGATTGTTTATCTGTAGATACAGGACAATCAGAGTGCCCCACGCACGCCAGCCGGTGTCTGCAGAGTTCACACCCGCACCCCCACATGCACACACACACACACACACACACACGCACACACACACACGCACGCACACACAGAGTCTCGGGCAGGTGAGGAGCTGGGTTTCCCGTTTCCATGCAGACACGGAACAGCCTGGCACACGTTCCGAGAAACCACTTGCAGGCGCCCCAAGGCAGGGGCAGCCGGGAGAGCCAGCACGTGGGACACTGCACCCCGGGAAGTGCCACTTGTCCCTTCCTCCCCACAAACACTGCACACCCACAGCCCCGCCCTGCAGCCGGCAGTTAGCTCACTGAAGGGCTGTAGCTGCAAGTGGGTGGGGAGGTGGAGAGAGTGAAAGACCAGCCCGGCCTTAAAGGGCCAGCTGTCAGATCCTCCAACCAACTACCCAACTGCTGCTAGGTGGAGAAGTGTAGTTTCAGAGAGCTGTGAACAGCAAGGCAGCTCTCTTCCCCTCTCTCTCTCTCTCTCTCTCTCTCTCTCTCTCTCTCTCTCTCTCTTTAAAATATACTTTTATTGCCGAAACCGGTGTGGCTCAGTGGATAGAGCGTCGGCCTGCGGACTGAAGGGTCCCGGGTTCGATTCCAGGTCAAGGGCATGTACCTTGATTGCGGGCACATCCCCAGTGGGGGCTGTGCAAAAGGCAGCTGATCGATGATTCTTTCTCATCGATGTTTCTAACTCTCTATCCCTTTCCCTTCCTCTCTGTAAAAAAAAAAAAAATCAATAAAATATATTTTTAAAAATATATTTAAAATATACTTTTATTGATTTCAGAGAGAGGGAGAGGGAGATTAAAAACATCAATGATGAGAGAGAATCATTGATCGGCTGCCTCTTGCACGTCCCCCCCCCCCACTGGGGATGAAGTCCACAACCCAGGCACGTGCCCTTGACTGGAATGGAACCCGGGGCCCTTCAGTCCGCAGGCTGATGCTCTATCCACTGAGCCACACCAGCCAGGGCGCTGTCTTTGATCTAAGAGGAGGTCAGCCTGGGTTCCTGCCGCTGGTCTCCCAGGCGCCCCAGCGCCTCTCTCTCTGCAGGACCATGGCAGAGGGTGATCACTCACACTGGGGCTCAGAGAGGGGAGGACACTCGCCCGGAGGCACACAGCTCGTGTGAGGCAGAGACCAGTGTCCCCTCCAGGACAGAGGACGCACCTCCTCAGGCTCATTGGTGCCGCCCCTCTCCCCGGGCAGAAGCTCAGGCTGGGCAGACGCTGCTGTGAATTTCAATCAGGGTTTCTGCTGCCTCGCGCTCTCTCTCTCTCTCTTTTAGAAACGTTTCCCTTCCCCTCTTTGGTTCTAAAGGGAGCCTCTGCGAGGTGCATGCCCGTGGCGTGGCTCCTCCTCACCCAGGGGTGAGCGGGGCTCCCTCCTCCCCTTTCCCCTCTGGTGTCCTCCTGGCCGCGGGCCCGAGAGCAGACGCACGTGTCTCGGGGTCTCTCCCTGCTGGCGGCCGGCTCGGGCGCTCCAGCGGGCAGAGTCAGGTGGCAAATAAACACAAGGAAGTGGTGGCGCCCTCGGAGCGGGCAGCGCAGGCCTGAGCCGCCTCGTTTCCCAGGCCTGGGGGGAAACCGGGATGGTGGCTCCTGGGTGGGCCTCTCAGGCAGGGCCCTGAGCCACGCTTTTTTATATTTATTTATTTATTTATTTATTTTATTGATTTTCTTACAGAGAGGAAGGGAGAGAGCTAGAGAGCTGGAAACATCGATGAGAGAGAAACATCGACCAGCTGCCTCCTGCATACCCCCTACCGGGGATGTGCCCGCAACCAGTGTACATGCCTGTGACCGGAATCGAACCCGGGACCTTTCAGTCCTTGGGCCGACGCTCTATCCACTGAGCCACACTGGTTTCGGCCCTGAGCCACGCTTTTTACACTTCTTCTTTTATTTTTATTACCTCTTAAAAATGTGTGTATATATATTGGTTACTCCTCACCAAAGGAAGCTTTTCCATTGATTTTTTTTTTTTTTTTGAGAGAGAGTGGAAGGGAGACGGAGAGAGACACAGAGAGAGAAACATCAATGTGAGAGAGACGCATCCATGGGTTGCCTCCCACACGCACTCTGACCAGCAGAGCTGGGGATTGCGCCCTGCCGCCGAGGGATGTGCCCTTGACCGGAATCGAACCCGGGACCCTGCAGTCCTTGGGCCGACGCACTATCCACGGAGCCACACCGGCCAGGGCCCACGTCACACTCTGCGCTGCCCGCCCCTGGCCAGGGCAGCAGGAGCCCCCAGGGGCCTGACTCAGCAGGGGGGGGAGGGACCAGGCCCGGGGCAGCGGAGGGAGGGCCCCGAAGCCCCTGGAAGTTGGACCCGGGCAGATAAGGGCTCCCCGAGATAAGGGGGCTCACAGTTCACCGCCACTCCTGTCCGCCGGGAGATAAGGTCTCCCCTCGCCGTGAGGGGTGTCCCTCCTCCTCCTCCTCCTCCGGAGGATCCCCGCGTCCACCTGCTCCCCATCGCGATAGCAGATCGCCTCGTATCTCCCCCGTGTGTCTAGCTCATTAGCGGATCCCGTCAGGGAAGCGCAGTCTCTGGTTCAAGGTCAGGCAGGAAAATATATTTTTTTTTAATAGCTGAAACCGGTTTGGCTCAGCGTCGTTCTATGGACTGAAAGGTCCCGGGTTCGATTCCCGTCACGGGCATGTACCTTGGTTGCGGGCACATCCCTGGTAGGGGGTGTGCAGGAGGCAGCTGGTCAATGTTTCTTTTCTTTTTTTCTTTGTTTTTTTTTAAAATTTATTTTATTGATTTTTTACAGAGAGGAAGAGAGATAGAGAGTTAGAAACATTGATGAGAGGGAATCATCGACCAGCTGCCTCCTGCACACCCTCCACTGGGGATGTGCCTGCAACCAAGGTACATGCCTGAAACCAACCGGTTTCGGCTGGTCGATGTTTCTAACTCTCTATCCCTCTCCCTTCCTCTCTGTAAAAAATCAATAAAAAAATATTTTTTTTAAAAATAGTCAGGCAGGGGTGGGGAGAGGCTGAGAGACAACCCTGGGCTCTGGTCCTCTAAGGGCCTCCCCCTGCTGCTACGCTGGCACCTAACGGGCCGTCCGGAGCGAGGACTGTCAGTTCTGCACACGTGTGTCCAGCGCCGGGGGAAGGCGGGGTGCGGGCCAGGCCTCCCGGGTATCCTGAGTGCCCTGAATGTCACGGGAACAGTCAGGGAATGTGCGTGGGCACCTCTGCGAGCAGCGCTTAAAGAGCCAGAGAGCAGCCGAAAGCCGAACCGGTGTGGCTCAGTGGATAGAGCGTCGGCCAGCAGACTGAAGGGTCCCAGGTTCGATTCCGGTCAAGGGCATGTACCTTGGTTGCGGGCACATCCCCAGTGGGGGATGTGCAGGAGGCAGCTGATCAATGTTTCTCATCGATGTTTCTAACTCTCTATCCTTCTCCTTTCCTCTCTGTAAAAAAAATCAAAAATTAAAAAAAAAAAAAAAAAAGAACCAGAGAGCAGTCAGGCCGGTGTGCTCAGTGGTTGAGTGTCAACCTATGAACCAGGAGGTCACGGTTCCATTCCCGGTCCGGGCACATTCCCAGGTTGTGGGCTCGATCCCCAGTGTGGGGCGTGCAGGAGGCAGCCTGTCAATAATTCTTTCTCATCATTGAAGTTTCTCTCTCTCTCTCCCTCTCTCTTACTCTCTGAAACCAATAAAATAAATATATATATTTATTTTAAAGAAAAGGACCAGCCCTGGTAAGTTTTGCTCAGTGGATAGAGCATCAGCCTGCAGGTTGAAGGGTCCCGGGTTCGATTCCGGTCAAGGGCACATGCCCCAGGTTGCAGGCTTGATCCCCAGTGGGGGGCGTGCAGGAGGCAGCCAATCCATGATTCTCTCTCATCTTTTATATATATATTTGGTTTCAGAGAGGAAGTCAAAAGAGATGAAACATCCATGATGAGAGAGAACCATGGATCAGCTGCCTCCTGCACACCCCACACTGGGGATCGATCCCGCAACCCGGACACGTGCCCCGAATGGCAATCAAACCGTGACCTCCCGGTTCATAGGTCAACGCTCAACCACGGAGCCACGCCGGCCGGCCAGTTCACCTTCGCACTGTGTGTGCGCCAGGCTCTCGGGATTGGGTGTCAGGCTGCGGGAGAGATTACCGTGGTGTCGGGGGAAGGCCGCCTGATAAGGGAGTCCAGGGTCCACTCTCCCTGAGAGGAGATAAGACCCTTCGCCTGATCGCACCCCCTGGGGCTCAATGCTTTTGGCCCCAACGTCGCAACGCTGTCCCCACGGGGCCCCCAACCTTGACCTTGCTCTCCAGGGTCTGTGGTTCCTTTAGACGCCCCCAGGGAAGGTCCTCAGTGAGCTTGCCCCTGCGGGTGATCTGAGAGCCTGCTGGGGTGCGGACGGAGAGGAGCTGGAATGGGGACAGGGAGGGGCTCCGTGCCCCCCCGACACCCAGCCTGCTGGCCTAACCCTGACCGCGCTTCCCTGTTACAGCGAGAAGCTTCGACCTGCAGAAGTCCGAGGCCATGCTGCGGAAGGTGAGTCACACGTTTGCCCCCGGGTCCCCTGGCTGCCTCCGTGTCTACCCATCGCGCTGGGTGTAAAGGGCTTCCGCCTGCCCCACCCACCTCCATCGCGGCCTGTGGCGTGACAGCTCCGATCTGACAGGAAAGGTGCATTTCCTTCTCCGCAAACACGGAGCCCTCCTGGGCCTGGGCTGGCCGGGGATGCGTGTTCTGCCGAAATCTCTAAGAGAGGCAGGACCTCTCTTTGTGTTCCTGCCTGTTGCTTTCTCACGATGCACCCCCCTTCATGCTGTCACCCACGATCTAGATGTCTGTTAAGAGGTCTCCCTGTCCTGGTTTCCCTTTTTAAAAAAAAAAAAAAAAAAAACGAAAACAAAAAGTAAATAGTTTTATTGATTTTAGAGAGGAAGGGAGAGAGAGAGAGAGAGATCAAGGATGAGAGAGAACCATTGATCGGCTGCCTCCTGCACGGCCCATCCTGGGGATCTCGCCTGCCCCCCGGGGCCTGTGCCCTGACGGGGAATCGCACTGGTGACCTCGCACTTGCTGGGTCGACGTGCCGCCGCTGAGCCAGGCCAGGCTGGGCTCCCTTTTTTAAAGCCCTGATGGTGCCCTCACCGGCTTAGCTTGGTGGATAGAGTGTTGGCCCGTGGACTGAGGGGTCCCGGGTTCGATTCCGGTCAAGGGCATGTGCCTTGGTTGTGGGCACATCCCCAGTAGGAGGTGTGCAGGAGGCAGCTGATCAATGTTTCTCTCTCATTGATGTTTCTGACTCTCTATCCCTCTCCCTTTAAAAAATCAATAAAATGTATTTTTTTAAAAAACAAAAAACAGCAAAATAAACAATAAAGCCCTGACTGTGTGTTGGCAGCACGTGGAGTTCCGGAAGCAGAAGGACATTGACAACGTCCTGACCTGGCAGCCACCAGAGGTGAGGACAGAGGCTCCTGGCCCGTGTCCTGGGTCTGCGGGCCTGGAACCCAGGAGGAAGCTCTGACCGTGCCCGTGGGCCCCCGTGGTGCCCGGGATGGGTGCCCGTGGGCCCCCGGGGGCAGGCTGTGCAGGGAGAGCCCGGGGCACCCCGAGGGAGGCCGTGGGGTGCGGGGAAGGTGCCTGCCCCGCCGGCTGACCGGGCGCCTCCCCATCTCCGCCCAGGTGGTCCGGCTGTACCTGTCCGGGGGCATGTGTGGGTACGACAAGGAGGGCTCTCCCGTCTGGTACGACATTGTGGGGCCCCTGGACGCCCGGGGGCTGCTCCTCTCGGCCACCAAGCAGGACCTGCTCAAGACCAAGATGCGGGACTGCGAGCGGCTGGTGCAGGAGTGCCACAGCCAGACGGCCAAGGCGAGTGGCGCGCCGATCGGGCACGGGCGGTTGGTCGGCCACGCGGCCGCAGGGACGTCCCCCGGGGACTCACCCACGGCTTCAGGGCGGAGGCCTGGCCTCTGGAGGGCATGGGCCACGGACATTTCCAACTCTTCGGGACTGACCTATGTTGCCAAATTTTTATTTTTCCCGGGAAGGACTTAAAATATATATATATATATATATATATATATATATATATATATATGCACACACATTTAAAATATATTTTATTGATTTTTTACAGAGAGGAAGGAGAGAGATAGAGAGCTAGAAACGTCGATGAGAGAGAAACATCGACCAGCTGCCTCTTGCACACTCCCAACCCTGGATGCACCCGCAACCAATGTACATGCCCTTGACCGGCATCGAACCTGGGACCTTTCAGTCTGCAAACTGACGCTCTACCACTGAGCCAAACCGGTTTCGGCTAAAAATATTTTTTTAAAATACATTTTATTGGTTTTTTTACAGAGAGGCAGGGAGAGGAATGGAGAGTTCTCATCTCATCCAATGTTTCTAACTCTCTATTCCTCTCCCTGCCTCTCTATAAAAAAACAAAAACCAATAAAATGTATTTCTTAAAAATATTTTTAAGCCAAGACCGGTTTGGCTCAGTGGATAAGGCATCAGCCTGCGGACTCAAGGGTCCCAGGTTTAATTCCGGTCAAGGGCATGGACCTTGGTTGTGGGCACATCCCCAGTAGGGGGTGTGCAGGAGGCAGCTGGGTGATGATTCTCTCTCATCGACGTTTCTATTCACTGAGCCAAATCGGTTAGGGCTTAAATATATATTTTTTATTGATTGCAGAGAGGTGGGGAGAGAGAGAAACATCCACGATGAGAGAGAACCATTGGGTCAGCTGCCCCCTGCACGCCCCACACTGGGGATCGAGCAGCCACCTGGGCATATGGCCCTCGACCGGGAATCGAACCGGGACCTCCTGGTTCACAGGTGGATGCTCAACCGCTGAGCCACGCAGCCGGGCATGAGCTCTAGGCCTTTGGGGAAGGGAGACACCAAGCCCACTTGGTCTGGGGCCGAGGGGAGGCCTCCCTCAGCCCGGCGCTGTGGCTAAGAGCAGCCGGATGGAGCCGGGCAGCACCGGTCCAGGCCGGCGGGACAGCGCTGAGCGAAGGCCTTGCACGCCAAGGCACAGGCCGCTGCCGAGTGCCCGGCGGGGGACGGCAGAGACTGCAGAGGGAGCGGGGAGCAGCTGGGCAGGGCCCTGCCTGCATCCCCACATCCAGCTGCCCTGTGAGTGTGCGATCAGCATTGGCCCTGAGCCGGGTGACGTTCCGCCCCCTGTGCCCTGCAGCTGGGGAGGAGGATCGACAGCATCACCATGATCTACGACTGCGAGGGCCTGGGCCTCAAGCACCTCTGGAAGCCGGCCGTGGAGACCTACGGGGAGGTGAGGGGCCGGACGGGGGAGGGGTGGGGGGCGTGGGGTAGAGCATAGGGGAGTGGCCCCTCTGCTGGGATGCCCTGTGGGTGGGCGAGGCGATGGGGGCACAGGCGGGCCCCGAGGTCTGCGCCCACAGGCACGCCGCTTTGTCCCCGCAGTTCCTGTGCATGGTGGAGGACAATTACCCCGAGACCCTGAAGCGCCTCTTTGTCATCAAAGGTAAGCAGGGGCCTCCACATGAGGAAGTGGGGGGCAGGTTCGGGAGAGTGACTCCTGGGAGCCGGAGCAGGGAAGCGGGGGGCCCTGGGCGTGTGCAGGCGGCTCTCCGGGGTCCGCTCGGTGTTTAGGATGCACCGGTGCCTCCCAGCAGCCAGGGGGTGGGGCAGAGACCCACTGGACTCTGCCCGCCGTGCAGAGGGCGGAGCTGGCAATGGCAGCGGTGCCCGCGCTGAGCCTCACACCCCGGGCGGCCACGTGGGCTCAGGGCGCCGGGGCACGTCCAGGCCGACATGGGCGCCCGGGGCGACGCTGTTGGGGACAGAGCGGGCGCTGCCTCCAGCCTCCCTCACGCCGTCTGTCGGCCTCTGTTTCAGCCCCCAAGCTGTTCCCCGTGGCCTTCAACCTGGTCAAGCCTTTCCTGAGCGAGGAGACGCGCAAGAAGATCAATGTCTTGGGAGGTGAGCGGCTGACTCCCTGCGCCCGGGCACCTGGGGTGGCGTTAGGTGGGGGGGGGGGCACCGCCACCGGGGCGGACGGTCCCGCTGCTGGGCCCGGGAGCAGGCTGGGGCTGGGCTAGGGTCTTCATGTCCATTTTCTCTCTTTTAAGCGTACTTCATCTAGTTATTGTTCATCCTCACCCGAGGATATTTTTTCTCCATTGGCTTTTACAGAGAGGGGGAGAGAAAGAGAGAGAGAGAGAGAGACATCGATGGGCTCTCTCCAGCACAGGCCCCAACCGGAGCCGTGGGACATGTCCTTGAACGGAATCGAACCCGGGACCCTTGCGTCCGTGGGCAGACACTCTATCCACTGGGCCAAACCGGCTAGGGCTTCCCATCGGCTTCCATAAGAGCCTTTCTCTCAGCCAATGTAGCCCAGTGGTCGGCAACCTCATTTGTGCGCAGAGCCAAATATCCACGGTACAACGGTTGACATTTCTTTGGAGAGCCAAATTTTTAAAAAATATATATTTTATTGATTTTTTGCAGAGAGGAAGAGAGAGGGATAGAGAATTAGAAACATCGATGAAAGAGAATCATCCATCAGCTGCCTCCTGCACACCCCCTCCTGGGGATGTGCCCGCAACCAAGGTACATGCCCTTGCCCGGAATCGAACCCGGGACCTTTCAGTCCGCAGGCCGAGCTCTCTATTCTAGCTCTCGTTCCTAGCTCTCTATCCACTGAGCCACACCGGTTTCAGCGGGAGAGCCACGCCTTTTTAAACGTAAACTTATTCTAACGCCCCTTCTTCAACATAGACCGCCCCAGCCGTAGTATTTTGTGGAAGAGCCACACTCGAGGGGCCCAAGAGCCGCCGGTGGCTCGAGAGCCGCGGTTTGCCGACCACGGGCCTAGGGGAAGGCGGTAGACTCAGCATCGTAGGTTCAGAGGTGAATGCCGTGCCAGGCGTTGCCGCCGGGAGCTTACGGAGCAGCCGGGGAGGGAGACCTGGGGGAGGAATGATGACGGGAGGAGGCGCTCGCCGTGGCCCAGAGAAGGAGCCTTAGGTCACGGGAGCAGAGGTTCCCTGAGGCCGGGGGTCCGCCGGCTGAGAGCCCTTACAGGGTGCCAGGCCCCGGACCAGGTGCCAGGGCTGAGAAGTGAATTGCGGCGCCCCAGTTCCTTGCGGCGCCCCAGGCCTCTGGGGGCGGGGAGTCACCGGGCCACTGGATCTGGGGAGGAGGTGAGGCCTGGAGCTCCAAGAGGTGCCGGGTGAGGCAAGGAGGGCGCTTCCGGGCAGAGGGAACAGCATTGGGCAAAGGCCTCGTGCCCATGGCACCGGCAGCTTACAGTGCAGGGCAGGGGACGAGGCTGAGGAGGGAACCGGGGGCCTGGGCTGGGGGGCTGGGCCGCGGCGCTGCAGGCCACGGAGTCCGAGGGGAGCACTGAGCAGGGAGCGCGGGGCCGGGTCTCCCACGGAGACCTTTCTCGCCGGGAGATGGTGGAGGGCAGATGCCGGCTGGCCTCGGTGGCCACAGCCCAGGCGGCAGGTGTTGCGAGCCGGGGCGGGGGCATTGGGGGCGGCGGGGGCGGCGAGGAGAGGCCCGGAGGGCAGGCCGGGGACTTCTCCGGGAAATCACACAGCGGAGACTCAGACAATGGGGTTGAGGAAGGAGGAAGGGGAACCGAGAATGACGTCCTCGTGTCTGGCGTGAGTTGTCTGCCCAGTGCGATCGCTCTGACGCAATGAGGTCATGAGGAAGGCGGGGGAAGAATGAGCTGGAGGCTGAGATTCAGGAGAGTGTGAGAGCCTGGCCTGGGTGGCTCAGTGTGTGAGCACTGCCTATGAACCAGGAGGTCACGGTTCGAGTCCCGGGCAAGGGCACCTGCCCGGTTGCGAGCTCAGTCCCCAGTGTGAGGTGTGCAGGACGCAGCCGATCCGTGATTCGCTCTCACTCACGGATGTTTCTCTCTTTCTCTCCCTCTCCCTTCCTCTCTGACATCAATTAAAAAAAACCACAAACATTAAAAAAAAAAAAAAAAAAAAGAGCTGAAACCGGTTTGGCTCAATGGATAGAGCATCAGTCTGCAGACTGAAAGGTCCCGGGTTCGATTCCGGTCAAGGACATGCACCTTGGTTGCAGGCACATCCCCGGTGTGGGGCGTGCAGGAGGCAGCTGATCTGTGATTCGCTCTTATCGACGTTTCTAGCTCTCTATCCCTCTCTCTTCCTCTCTGTAAAAAATTAATAAAATATATTAGAGAGAGAGAGAGATACACACACTGGGGATACTTGAGCCTGAAGCTGAGGGGAGAGCTCCCGCCTGGGGCTGTGGGAGCCGTCCACGGCAGGCAGCAGCGAGGACCTTGAGGACAGAAGGCTGCCCCCCAGGAGAGCAGGCTGAGCGCTGGGGGCAGCCAAGCTGGAGGGCAGCAGAGGGAGAGGAGCCCAGCGGGGAGACCGAGGCGCGATTGATCGATGGATTGATCGTGGCAGTGGACAGAGGAACAGGTGGGCAGGGCTGGGGCTCATACGGAGGTGGGGGGCACTCGGGGCTCAGGGGGACCCCAGCAGCCAGGGCCCAGCCAGGAGCTGGTGTCGCCGGAGGAGGAAGGGACCAGAAGGACAGCTCGGGACTTGGCCGATCCCGGGAGACTCGGGGCCACCTCTGGGCGTGGGTGTGGGCATGGGCCACGGGGATCCGGCGGTTTCTCAATGTTCACCTTCAGGCAACACGTGGCCGGTGGAGAATGGCCAAGCGCGTGCCGGCGAGGCCGGGCGCGGGGAGGCGGTCGGAAAGCCCAGGGCTTCTCGGCTCTGGCCTGGGCTCTGCAGACTCTGGTCGCCTCGTGCCTCTCCCTGCAGGACGGGAAGGGTTCCCCCACCCCATCCCCCTCTGCCCGGAGCTGGGAAAGACCTGCAGCATCCCCCCAAGGCTCGGCGGTTCTGGCTTCTGGGCTGTCCACACACACACACACACACCCGGGAGCAGGAGACAGCCAGGTTTCCTGGCAGCCCGGCGTGGAGAAGGTGCAGTCTGCCCTCCCACCCACACCTCAAACCCTCTCCGCCAAGCCCGCCGGGGGCCCAGGCCCGGGCCCTTCGCCGGGGAGGGAAGACAGTCACTCGGGGCCAGCAGCACAGGTGCCATCGCCCCGAGACCACAGGGCCCCGCCGTCCCCGGGCTGCCAGGCCCCGGCTGCCTCGGTGGGCGTCCGGCGGCCGCGGTGGCGGAGTCCACCGGCTGCACCCGCGACCCGGAGCGGCCGCCGCGCTGCGGCTCCTGGCCTCGGCGGGGACAGGCTGCCGCTGTCACAATGTTGTTCTTGGCCGGGGCCCGCGGCGGACTTTGGGACGGCGGGGCCGTGGGCCGCGGCCTCGGTGGCCCTAGAGCAGCCGTCGGCGAACGCATGAATCAGCAGAGCCAAACAGCAACAGGACGGCGACTGGCAGTTCTTTGGAGAGCCACATTTTTAATTTTTATTTGTTTGTTTGTTTATTTTTTATTATTGAATTATTATCTGTGTACATATTTTAACATTGTTCCCCCCCGCCCTGTACATGCCCTCCCTCCCCAGGGTTTTGTGTCCATTGGTTGTACTTATATGCATGCATACAGGTCCTTCGGCTGATCTCTTATCTCCCCCAGATCTCCCTCCCCTCCCGGCTGTAATTTGACAGTCTGCTTGTTGCTTTACTGTCTTTATTATATCTGTCTTTGGAGAGCCACGTTTTTTAGACGTAAACCATCTAGGTAGGTGCATTGTTATGAACTCGATGAGGGCACTCCTAAGCTGGCCTTTGCTAAAAGCTCCAGGGGCCAAAGAGCCGCAGGTGGCTCGCGAGCCGCAGTTTGCCGACCACTGCACTAGCGTCAAACTTTCCTAGTCAGGAAAGGGCTTGGTTACAAAAAAAAAAAAAAAAAAGCCCAATCATTGGCAGCTAAATAGTCTAAAAACAAAACAAAAAAGCCAGGAACAGATGTGAAATCCTGGCCGGGGTCGCCCCACGGGGATGCATGCGCTCACTCAGTCACAGCCGAGCACGCCGTGTGTCGCACGAATGGGGGTGGGGGCGGGAGGTGCGCGGTGTGCAGCACATGCTGTTCCCGCCCAGGGCGTGCCCTCCCGCCTGCTCTGTCCTCCCGGTCGCACTGCAGACGTGTGCACCCCTCCCTGCATGTGCTCCCCTCCCCGGAGGGATGAGCCATCTCCCACGGGCGAGCCACCCTCCCACGGTCACTCCATGCCCACAGGACCTGGCCCGAGGCAGTGGGGACCCAGGTCCCTGACTCTGGGGCAGGGCAGGGCTGCCCCTGCACAGGGGAATGTGCTGTGGGCACGTGGGCGCTCCGAATGCCTGTGTTTTTTGGGGTGTGTGTGTGTGTGTGGAGGGGGCAGATGGTTGTTGACTTTTTCCTGCCTCTCTCTTTTTTTTTAAAATATATTTTATTGAATTTTTACAGAGAGGAAGAGAGAGGGATAGAGAGTTAGAAACATCGACGAGAGAGAATCATCCATCAGCTGCCTCCTGCACACCCCCCTACTGGGGATGTGCCCGCAACCAAGGCACATGCCCTTGTCCAGAATCGAACCTGGGACCCTTCGGTCCGCTGGCCAACGCTCTATCCATTGAGCCAAACCAACCAGTTCCAGCTTCCCTGCCTCTTTGGTGTAGTCTGTGGTGACCCTTCTCTCTCCTCCTTCCCTCCCTCCCTCCCTCCCCCGCCAGGAAACTGGAAGGAAGTTCTGCTGAAATACATCAGCGCCGACCAGGTGCCCGTGGAGTATGGGGGCACCATGACCGATCCCGATGGGAACCCCAAGTGCAAATCCAAGGTATGGGGAGGTGACCGGTGACCGGGCAGGCCGGCCCCCCATGCACGCCCATCAGGCTCACAGCACGCTCCGTCTCCAGATCAACTGGGGGGGCGACATCCCCAAGACCTACTACGTGCGCGACCAGCTGAAGCAGCAGTACGAGCACAGCGTGCAGATCTCCCGCGCCTCCTCCCACCAAGTGGAGTACGAGATCCTCTTCCCGGGCTGCGTGCTCCGGTAGGCGGATTCCGGAACCTTCCGGGAGGCCCTGCGGCTCCGGTGGGGAGCAGCCCCAGGGCGGCCCCCCCCCCCCGAGATTCCCCGATGGTGTCCTGAAAGGCGGCCATGCCCCCCTGCAGGTGGCAGTTCACGTCAGAAGGCTCGGACATCGGCTTCGGAGTCTTCCTAAAGACCAAGATGGGGGAGCGGCAGAAGGCGGGCGAGATGACCGAGGTGCTGCCCAACCAGAGGTACAACGCCCACCTGGTGCCCGAGGACGGCAGCCTCACCTGCAGCACCGCCGGCATCTGTAAGTGTCCCCATCCTGCCCACCCGGGGGGGGGGGGCGCCTCTCTCTCCAGACACAGGGGCTCTCGGCCGTGAGAGCTGCAGGCGGAACCCCCCTCCGAGAGACCCTCCCCTGCGCAGGAGGGGAGACGTGGGGCCAGGCAGGTGGCCTGTCTTGCTCAATAGCGGGGTTTGTGGCTGTTGAGGGCAGGGTGGGACTCTCGCCCGGTCCTACCCGTGAGTCACAGGCCTGGGTGATGACAGGGGACCATTTCCTGTCTGGTCCAGGCCTAACTGGGATTGTGGCTGTGATCAGACATCTCTTGGGAATTCCTCCCCACATGTCAGAGGAGCGGGATGGGCTGGCGGGGGGCAGGAAGGGGGAGCAGGGTCCGGGAAAGCCCAGCCTCGACCCCCTCGGAGCGTCACTGGTCTTCAGGGCGCACAGCGGGTGGATGGGAAGTTGGACGCGGGAGGTGTAAGGATGGCAGGTGGGCGTTTGAAAAGGTACTGCACCTCGCTCAGCTTGGCGATATCCCCTTGGACTCGGCAATTCTACGTCTAGAAATTTATCTTAAAATATATTTTATTGATTTTTTTTTTTTTTTACAGAGAGGCAGGGAGAGGTAAAGAAAGTTAGAAACATCGATGAGAGAGAAACATCGACCAGCTGCCTCCTGCACGCCCCCCACTGGAGGTCAGGCCTGCAACCCGGGCCTGTGCCCTGACTGGGAATCAAACCATGACCGCCTGGTTCATAGGTTGCTGCTCAACCATTGAGCCATGCCAGTTCTGGCTATTAATCTTTCTTAAATGTGTGTATAGCTCACATTTATTTCAATGTTTATTTAATATTAATTTATTAATAATAGAAGAGGCTGGGGTATTTAATTTAGAATGTTGGTGATGTTTTTTTGTGTGTGTGTGTTTTTTTGTGTGTGTGTGACCAGAAACATGCTGTAAGAAACTACACTGAGTGGCCAGATGATGATGATCTCTGAAAGCATTATTATCTGGCCACTCAGTGTCTATCCTATAGAATAAAAGGCTAATATGCAAATTATCCCCTTGACTAGGAGTTTGACTAGTAGGCAGGCCAGCCAACCGCCCATGTCCCCTCCTCCTGGCCAGGCTGGCCGGACCCCACCCATGCACAAATTCATGCACCCTAATATATATATATATATATATATATATATATATATATATATAGGCACTGAGTGACCAGATTATTATGCGTTCAGAGATCATCATCATCTGGCCACTCAGTGAATATCAACGCTATGTCTATAGCAGAACTGGTTTCCTGAGACGTTGTGTCAGAGCTCGGGGTCAGGCATGAAAAACCAGTGGGTTAAACCTGACAGCTAACTAGTCGTCCTCCAGCAAGTGACTCACCAACCTTCCTGGGCTTCCGTGTCCTGATGGCCGAGGTGAGGATCTGGTTCCCTCCCTCAGAGGGGCCCGTGATGGTTGCGTGTGACCTGGTCGCAGTAGCCCTTAGCGTGATGCCTGGCACACGGCGGGCCCTCCACACGCCTCGCCCGCTGCTGTGGGCATCAGGGCGGGACCTGGGGGAGGACAGCCCGTCTTGGAGACAGAGCCGCAGGCCGGAGGAGCCCTGGGCTCTCTCTCCATGGCAGCGCCACCAGCGTCTCCGCCGGGCAGCTCTCCTGGCCTCGGTGCCTGTCTGTACACCGGCACCCCAACCTCAGGTTCTGTGTCCTCGCCCACATCCTGGTGGCTCGTCTCTGCCGCCACCTCCTCACTGATGCTCTGTGATGGGAGAAGAGCTGTCAGTGAGCAGCTGGGGCCCGGGCGGGAGCAGGCATAGACTGTACGTGAGCTTCAGCAAGAACAGGCTCGGCACCCGCCCAGATACAGCTATCGGCAGAGTGTACACATATGTCACTGTGTACATAGACGCTTGACTTTCTTTCTTAAAAAAAAACCAAGCACACTTTTTTATTGATTTCAGAGAGGAAGGAAACATCATGATGAGAGACAATCACTGACCAGCTGCCTCCTGCACGCCCCCTGCTGGCGATCAGGCCTGTATCCCGGGCCTGTGCTCTGACCGGGAATCAAACCATGACCTCCTGGTTCGTAGGCCAATGCTCAACCACGGAGCCACGCCGGCCAGGCCTTTTTTACTGATTTGAGAGAGAGAGAGAGAGGAAGAGTGAGGGGGAGGGGGAGAAATATTGATGAGAGAGACAAACATCAGTGGGCTGCCTCCTGGTTCATAGGTAGATGCTCAGCCACGGAGCCGCACGCCCTGGGGGCTCCCTGAATGTTTTAAGCAAGTGCCCGTAATAAGCTTTCCTCTTTTCCTTAAAGCTCGGGGAGTGAGCCAGAGCAAGAACTCTTAGTCTGGGGTTCAGGGGCTCCCCAGAGCAGTCACTGTAAGTCTTATAAAGAACAAACACCTCCCCCTTTATAACCATAGTGTCTGACTGTCCCCTGGACTATCCTGAAACATAATAACTTCACACAGATAATTTTTTAAAAATCAATGTCATCTCCTTATTTGGAGAAATGAAAGGACGCTAATTTATTTTATTTTTTAAAATATATTTTAGCCGAAACTGGTTTGGCTCAGCGGATAGAGCGTCGGACTGCGGACTGAAAGGTCCTAGGTTTGATTCCGGTCAAGGGCATGTACCTTGGTTGTGGGCACATCCCTGGAAGGGGGTGTGCAGGAGGCAGCTGGTCCATGTTTCTCTCTCAGCGATGTTTCTACCTCTCTATCCCTCTCCCTTCCTCTCTGTAAAAAAATCAATAAAATATATTTTAATATATAAATTATTGATTTTTTTACAGAGAGGGAGAGGGATAGATTTTCCCCCCTTTTTTTATTTATTAAGGTATTATATGTGTATATTTGTTATCATTGACTCCACCCCCTCCCATACATGCCCTCACCCCAGTGTTTTGCATCCATGGCTTATGTTTGTACGCACGCATACACGTCTCTTGGCTGCTCTCTCATCTCCCGAGTCCTGTCCCTTTAAAAGAATCACGTGTCGCAATGAATACGCAGGACATGCACACACACGCATCCACTCACGCCTGTCATCCAGTGTATGTCGGGAGGAATCTCCGACACTGTAACGCTTGTCACAGGGTCTGAGGAACATTCCTTTCCTGCAAGAGCAGGCGTGTTCGGGACGGCACAGCCCCGTGTGAAAGCCTCCCTTTGGGACAGGCGCCCGGGCAGTATCCCCGGGAGCCTTGGGCGTGCAGGCGGACCGAGAGGCAAAGGCCGAAGTCATTTTGATAATCTGTCTGCGCCCAGGTGTCACCAACGATTCGTCCTGTTCTGCTACATTTATTTTTATTTATTTTAATTTTTTTTTGGCCAAAGGATAAACTGTGGACATTCCCCTCAGGCCCTTCGTAGGAAGATTAACTTCTTCCCATCAGTGTTTCACCACACGGATTGCAATAGAAACCTTTTAAGCCGTTCTGCTTAGGACACTGCAGCTTCCCCACGCATCCCGTCTCCCCAACGGGGGTGCCATGCACACCTCCGCCCGGGTGTATTCCGGGGGGCACACACACGCCTGCTTCAGAACGTCCGCACCGTCCACCTTCCGTCAGACACGGGCCGGGCAGGGCTGTCCCGGGCCCACGTCAGGCAGCCGTTCGGGCCGGAGGGGAATTCCGGTTCTGTCACTTCCCCGCCGTGTGACACAGTGACCTCCTGCTTTCAGGGATGCAAGACGGGACTCATGCTGAACTCATGGTTATTTTGAGAAATGGTGAAGTGGCACCTAATTGGTCTCCAGCCCCGTGCTGACTCACAGAACGAGCAATCCTTACCTGCCTCTGATGGTTGCAACGACTGCTGCTGCTAGGAATGCTGCTCCTCACTTTTTTTTTATTTAATCTTTTTAAAAAATATATATTTTATTGTTTTTTTTTTTTTTTTTTTTTTTTTAACAGAGAGGAAGGGAGAGGGATAGAGAGTTAGAAACATCGATCAGCTGCCTCCTGAACACCCCCGACTGGGGATGTGCCCGCAACCAAGGTACATGCCCTTGTCCGGAATCGAACCTGGGACTCCCCACAGGCTAACACTCTATCCACTGAGTCAAACCGGTTTTGGCTGCTCCTCACTTTTATTGATTGCAGAGAGGAAGGGAGAGGGAGTCAGAGACAGAAACATCCATAATGAGAGAGAATCACTGGTCAGCTGCCTCTCGCACACCCCCCGCTGGGGATCCAGCCCGCAACCCAGGCATGGGCCCCGTCCGGGAATCGAACCAGGGGCTCTACTCCTCACCTTCAGGGCTCAGTTTAAGCTCTAACTCCTCTAAGAGGCCTCTCCCATAATTTCACTCCGCAGGGCGCTCTCTGTCCCCGCAATATATATATTTTATTGACTTTTTACAGAGAGGAAGGGAGAGGGACAGAGAGCTAGAAACGTCGATGAGAAACATCGACCAGCTGCCTCCTGCACACCCCGTACCGGGGATGTGCCCACAGCTAAGGCACATGCCCTTGACCGGAATTGAACCTGGGACCTTTCAGTCCGCAGACCGACGCTCTATCACTGAGCCAAACCGGCTTCGGCTCGGCTACATTTATTTTTATTTATTTTTTTGGCCAAAGGACAAACTGTGGACATCCTCCCCCCCAGGCACTTCGTAGGAGGACTAACTTCTTCCTTTTCCCATCAGTGTTTCTCCACACGGATTGCAATAGAAACCTTCTAAGCCGTTCCCCTTAGGACCCTGGAGCTTTCCCACGCGTCCCGTCTCCCCAACGGGAGTCGCTTTTAGCGTTTCTCACTCACCCACCTGGCACTTGGCCTGTGTGTGCTAGGGAACACCTTGTCCACCCGGGTAGACGCCTTTGCAGGAGGCGAAGGGCCGCTGCCTACACTCCCACCCTCCTCAGTGCCTGCCCCGTGGCCGTGCTTGGTCAGCGAAGCTCGATGCCCCCCGCCCTTGGCCAGGATCACCTCAATGTCCTGTTTTCTGCCTCCCCTCAGATGTCCTGCGGTTTGACAACACCTACAGCTTCATTCACGCCAAGAAGGTCAGCTTCACCGTGGAGGTCCTGCTTCCGGACAAGGCTTCCGAGGAGAAGATCCAACAGCTGGGGGCGGTCACCCCAAAGTAATGCCTCCCCCCGCCGCCGGCCTGGCCCCCCTCGGTGTCTCCCTGTCCGTTTCCATCCCCTGTCGCAGCCATGTTCCCAAGCGCCCCGAGGCCCAAAGGAACCGGGGCTGGAAGAAGGACCCCAGCTTGGATCTGGGGAGTTTTCATTTCAGGATTAGGAAGAGGGAGCCGAGCAGGAGGTGGGGGGGCTGGAGGGGGGTATTTCCTGGCCTTTCAAGTGACTAAGGAGTGTCTCCCCCCCCCCCCCCCGCCCCCAGGGGCTGGGCACTGTGATGGGATGTTTGTCCCGAAAAACGGTGCCGACAGCTCACCCACCTGTGACGGGAAGGGGGTCCCATGGGGTGGCAGCAGGGAAGAAATCGGAAAAGGGAAGAGACTGAAAACGTAACATTTCCAGCGAGGCCAGCAGCAGGGGAGAGGAACGTGCAACCAAATGAAGAATCCGTAAGCCTAGATCATAACGAGCAGCAGCAAGGAGTTGCTGGAAGTCAGAGGCGCTTCCAAACTATCATTGAGGCTGGTGTCTTGGGGTTCTTCCCCGACCCCCTCCTCCCGTCTCAGGTGGCCCACTGTCTGCACAGAGCTTCCCACTCAGGGGTACACACAGGCCGGGCTTTTCCTTGGGGACTTCAGCAACTCCGGGGTCTCTGCGGCTGCTGATTTAATTACTGATGATTGTCATTGATTCAGAGCTTCCGGGGACAGCGAGCTTGGGAACCCCGCCACTGTCTTCCGATGCAAACACAGCACAGGGAATTACCTCCAGGGGTCCCAGCTCTGGGGAGGGAAGGGAGGCCCGGGGTGGGTGAGAGCCCTGAGGCTTCCAGCCTCCCATGGAGTAACGCTTCATGTGTGGGGTGCCCACACAGAAATGGCAGGTGGGATCCAGACAGAACTCAGTGAGGGCATTTGTCAGTCTGCGCTCTTCCAAGGTGCCCGTCGACCGACCCTCTCCGGGAGAGGCGTATGGCGGGTGCCATGGGCTCCTAGTGCCTGGTGGGCAGGCGGCCCAAGGCAGGGCCAGCATCTGGGAGAGACAGGGGCTGAGGCCGCCCCACCACAAACAGCCTCGCAGGCCCTGGGCCCCTCCACCCACGGCGGCCAGCAGGGATGGCCATGGGGCCGCTCAGCGACAGGGAGCTGGAGGGCAAGGACCCTTCCAGCAACCATAGCACTTATCCCAATCCCACGTCCTGCAAACAAATGCAAACCAGGTCCTGGGCTGCAGAGAGGCACACGACCCGGGAAGGCAGCCCGGCCTGGGGAGCTGGTCTGGCGAAGCGGGAGGGAGCAGCGGGAGGAGGGGGGGCTGGGGTCCCCCTGAGCCCGCATGGGCCCCAGCCAGAACCCTCAGGAGGACATCCCGACCTCGGTTTACAACGCTCTGCTAGGGAAATTAACCAATGAATAAAAGCAACGTTCAATGCACACAGAGTGGAGGTCCACGCGTACCGCCTCGTTCTTTGCAGCTCGCTCACGCACCACCCAGAGCTCAGCGGCGACATGGACCCGCCCTGGGGCGGCGCGCATGCGCAGAAGCCGCCCCCGGCGCTTCTCCGGCGTGCGCTTTCTGGCGCCCCGCGGCCAACTCGCCGCCTGATTGGCCTTTCCGGTGGGCTGCCTCCCGCCATCTTTGCTAAGGGCACTGAGGGTGCTCTGGGCGCCTTCGCGGTCAGGGCGGAAGCCCCGCCCCACCTGGTTTCCGGGAGCCAGGCGGTCCTTGCGCGCCGACACACACACACGTGGGTCTGGCGAGCGCCCCGGTGCCCGCGGTGGGCCCGAGGAGGGAGGGAGAGGGAGGCGGGGGAGGAGCGGTCACGTGGCGTTAGGGACCGTCTCCTAATTCTGCGCCCTCGCTGCCGGTGATGGGGAGGCAGAGACCGGGACGTTCAGGGGCCTGGGCATCCCTTTGAGCGCTGAGCCCAGGCTGCTGGGCACGACCCCGCAGAGACAGCGACGGCGACGCCCGGGGCTGAAAATGGGGCCCTCAGCAGGGAGTCTGGAGTCTTCATTTTCCCCAGTGTTGTTGAGTGATAATAAAAGCGAAGAAATCAACCGAAGGATTTATATGCATGCATAGAAGTATCACCGATGGACACAAAACTCTGGGGAGGGAGGGCATGGATGGGTGGGGGGGGGCAATGGTAAGATATGTACACAGATAATAATTTAATTAAAAAAATAAATTTTAAAAAAAGCGAATGCTTTAAAGAACGCCTCCTGGGTACCACACACCTCTGGACTTAAGGAGAAATCATGTGTGCAGAGCGCTTGGAAGAGAGCCCGGCACACGTCAGCACACAAGAAATATTAGATTAATACTAGTCTTTTTTTTTTTTTTTTTTTTTTTTTTACAGCCGTGGCTAACAGGTAACAGGACTGCCCATCTTTTACGGCTGTGTCTTTGCTTGCTCTGCTCCCTCCCCCACCTCCAAAAAGTTTCACGAAGCTGCACTCCTTGCTCACACGGGTAAACTGAGGTTCCGCAGGAGAAGAGTTCCCTCCTTGGTCATCCCTCCCCCGCCTCTCCCCCAGCCCCCTCATTCTATTCTGCTCATTTCCCTGAAGTCCTGCACCCCAATCCTGGTTCCCGGGCCTCGTGATTCAATCATTCAATCATTCAATTATTCAATCAATCAATCAATTATTCATTCATTCATTCATTCCTTCCTTCCTTCAGGGTCCTGTCCCCCAGGGGTTCTGTCTCGTCTTCATCCTGATCCAGTGTGGATGTCAGTGCTGACGGGATCATGGCAACGTGCCGGGAAGGGACTTGGGAGCCCAAGTATCCATCTCGCCAGGATGCCCCCCACCCACCCTCACTCTCCCCGGCTCCTGGGCTGAGAGGTCCTAAGAGCTCAGGATCTGAAGCCAGTCCCAGGACACTGCCCCATCTTCTCTGAGCCTCTGTTTCCTCATCTGTAAAGTGGGGGGTCCCGGGTGGAGGGGAGGGTTAAGGAAGCCATCTCTCTGTAGAGCCTTTTCCTGCTCAAGTCTTTAGCTGTGAGTCTCTGGCCAACAAACAGTCTGGCCGGTAGTCATCACGGCCCAAGGCGGCTTTGTTATTCGTCCTTGTTGTCCCAGGAGGGAACGACCCAGATTAAGAAATGAATCAAGGGAGGCTCCAAGCACACGGGGCCCAGGCGTCCCGCTTTTGGCGGGACCCGTCCCGATTTTTAAATTTTTTTTTTACAATAGTCCAAGCCTGAGGTCATACACGGTGACGTGGGGCCGGGAGGGACGGGATCTCCCATTAACACCGGCCTCTGCGGTCCTTAGAGGGCTTCCTGCCGGCCCTCGAACCCCCAGAAATAACGGGACGGGACCCTGCCCCCTCCCGGCCGGGGAGAGGGGCTCCGGCGCGGGGGAATTTACAGACGCTCCCTGCGCTGGGTGACGGCACCACCTGTCCGTCCTTCAGTCCGTCCGCCGCCTGGACTGGAACCGGAGGGCCCGGGGGAGCTGCGCGGCCGTGGGGGCTGGACCGGCCGCCGGGGCCGCCGGGGCCGCCGAGGGGCCATGTCCGAGCCGCCCCCGCGGGGCGCCGAGCGCGACCTGTACCGGGACACGTGGGTGCGTTACCTGGGTGAGCGCGGGGCAGGGTCACCGCGGGCGCGGGGACGCCCCCGCCCAGCAGCGGGAGCAGCAGGGCTCACTGTTGGCCGGTTCCTAGGCCGGTTCCGGTCCCGGAGCAGGCGGAGGGATCTTAGTTCTCAGATCCCCATCAATCAGACCAGACATGGGGCTCAGAGAGGGTTAGGGACTTGCCCAAGGTCACACAGCTCAGGGTGGCCCAGCCCTGCCTTTTGGGGTTGGAAGGGGAAGGCGGGGGGGGGGGGGGGGGAGGGGGCGGGTCTCTGCTGGTCCTGTCTCCCAGATGCAGCTCAGGCCCTCCTTGGAGGCATGGGGTGAGCAGGTGGCCTTCTGGGACATGGCTGGAGCCCGAGGTCCTGGACCCCTCTCCCCGCTTCTCCCCGGCTCTGCCCGAGCTCAGCTCCCTCCTGGGCAAACAGGGACGGACGAAGGCAGGGCCTCTCTCACCAGCTGGTAGTTGTGAGGGCACAGGAAGGCCTGGCGCCAGGTGAGTGCCCTCGGTCAGTGCCCTCCGTCAGTCAGTGGCTGCCTGTTCCCCTCCATTCGTGCAGAAGCTTCCAGCATCCAGACTGGGAAGGCAGCCCAGTGAGTGATCGCGGTGACTGCCCTCCCACGGTGGCCCTGGCGTGGAGGTGGGCATCCTGGGTGGCCGTTTTCTAGGATCAGAGAGACCCGACCAATCAATCCCATGCCCAAGGTCATCCTCCTCCAGCCTCCGTGGTGCTGGCTGGGGCCGGAGTGCCCCCTGGTGGAGCAATGGCTGCTGCTCCCGGTATTAAATGTCCCCTTCCCTCGGCCCAGGCTACGCCAATGAGGTGGGGGAGGCCTTCCGCTCCATGGTGCCCGCGGCCGTGGTGTGGCTGAGCTATGGGGTGTCCAGCTCCTATGTGCTGGCTGACGCCATCGACAAGGGCAAGAAGGCAGGAGAGGTGAGTGTGAGCCCACCCCTCAATACCCCCTCCCAGGCCATCGCCCCGGAGGGCCAGTCCACAGCCTTGTACGGGGTACCCTCACTGTGGCAAAGCATGTGGGCAGCCCATACTCAGTCCTGTTTGTGGGGTAGTGTACCCCCCTCCCCAGCCCCAGCCTTGCGTGTGGACAGGTCTGCCCCCAGCACGGAATGTGGCGTATGGTATAGTCCAGATCCCAATACTCAATACTAGCGGGGGGTTGCCAAAACCGGTGTGGCTCAGTGGATAGAGCATCTGCCTGCGGACTGAAGGGTCCCAGGTTCGATTCCGGTCCGGGGCATGTACCTTGGTTGCTGGCACATCCCCAATAAGGGGTGTGCAGGAGGCAGCTGATCGATGTTGCTCTCTTATGGATGTTTCTAGCTCTCTGTCCCTCTCCCTTCCTCCTCTGTAAAAAATCAATAAAATATATATATATATTTTAAAAAAGACTAGCGGGGTTTGTCCCAGCTCCCCTTCCCCTCTCCCCCTCCACCCCCCTTCCCCTGGCAGTCCCGCTCCCCCTGCTTCCCTCTCCCTGGCTCAGCCTCAGGCCACAGGGTTCCCTGGCTCTGCCACCCATCGCTGAATCCAGTTTCTCTTGTGCCCACCAAGGCGCCAAGCCCCGAAGCCGGCCGCAGCACCCGGGTGACGGTGGCCGTGGTGGACACCTTCGTGTGGCAGGCCCTGGCCTCCGTGGCCATCCCCGGCTTCACCATCAACCGCGTGTGCGCGGCCTCTCTCTACGTCCTGGGCGCCGCCACCCGCTGGCCCCTGGCCGCCCGCAAGTGGACCACCACCGCCCTGGGGCTGCTGGTCATCCCCGTCATCATCCACCCCATCGACAGGTGGGCCCCGCCCCCCGGCCCTGACCTCCTGCCTCCCAGGCCCCCGTCGGCCACTTGCTCATCGCCCTCCCCTGCCCCACAGGTCAGTGGACTTCCTCCTGGACTCCAGCCTGCGCAAGCTGTACCCCTCCGCCGAGAAGCCCAGCTCCTCCTGACCGCAGCCTGGCACCCGGCCCCGGAGGCTGGCCCACCCGCTGCTTTCCAACCTCCTCCTGCTGCCAGGGGGTTCGGAGGGAGCGTGGCTCCTTGGGGCCCAAGGCCCGGGCAGCTGAGCGGGTGTGAACTGGATGAAAACAACGACAAGAAGGAGCAGCCGCTGCAGCGACGTGGGGGCGAGAAGCCTTGAACCCCAGACTGGGTGATACCGAGCGGCTGTGGGACCGGGTGGGCCCGGCCCGGTCTCTCTGACGGGGAAGGAACATCCTCCTGTGGAGGAGACGGGGACTGAGCCCGCAGAGGGCGAGGAACGTGGCCAAGATCACTTGGCAAACTGGGGCCCCGGGACTCCCAGCAGCTCAGCCCCGTCAGCCCCTGGCGGCGTGGCTGGACAGAGGGGCAGCGGGCACTGGGAGAAGCACGGGCGTGCTGCGGTGGGGGACCCTGAGGCCTGGGCCTCTGGCCAGTTCATCCCCCGATCCCCGGGGCCGGGGCTGCTGGGGCCTGGCCGGGAGGCAGGACAGCCCTGGTTTAATAAATCCTCAGGAAGTGTCGTCTGCTTCTTCTCTGTTGGGGATGGGCAGGGCTGTGCAGGGCTGTGGTGGTGTGTGGAGGGCAGGGCTGGGGCCCTCCCAGGCGGAGGCGGACTGCTCGGGCCAGTATCACGCCCCGAGGCCAGCGTGAGGGCAGTGGCCTCCGGCTTGCCTCCCTCCAAGCTTTTCTCTATCTGGCCGCCTCCTTCTGAAACGTCCAGCCCCGGGCCCAGGCTCTGGCGGCGGCTCTCAGAGGCCTGGACAACCTCACCCCAGTGTTCACCTCAGCTATTCTGTCCCTTTCGGTCCCTTGGAGCTGGGGGTCCTTTCTCTTTTTTTAAAATATATTTGTATTGCCGAAGTCGGTTTGGCTCAGTGGTTGAGTGTTGGTCTGCGGACTGAAGGGTCCCGGGTTCGATTCCGGTCGGGGGCGTGTGTGCATTGGTTGCGGGCACATCCCCGGTTGGGGGTGTGCAGGAGGCAGCTGGTCGATGTTTTTCTCATCAATGTTTCTAGCTCTTTATCTCTCTCCCTTCCTCTCTGTGAAAAATCAATAAAATATATTTTAAAAATATATATATATAGATTTGTATTGATTTCAGAGAGGAAGGGAGAGGGAGAAACACTAATGATGGGCGAGAAACAATGATCAGCTGCCTCTTGCACGTCCCCATTTTCCCTCTATCCACCCCCCTACACTCACACTAGGGATCAAGCTCAGAATGCAGGCATGTGCCCCGTCCGGGAATCGATCCCTCACCTCCAGGTTCAGAGGTCGATGCTCAACCACTGAGCCACAGCGGCCGGGCTGGTGATTGGGCTTGATTGGGCTTTCTCATACCCTGTTCCCTCCCATTGGGACACTCCCTTCCAGCCGGCCCCCACCTCCTTCCTACAGGTGCATCCTCTCTCCTGACTACAGCTCACTCCTTCCTCAGTTTACCCCCGCAAGGTGGCCTCTGACACCTAGGGCTGGCTTGGAAGCCTCCTCTGGGGTCTCGTCAGCTCAGCACTTCCTGCATGGCCTGGGAGGCTGCAGCAGAGGCCTGCTGGGCTTGGGGAGAGTTGTCTTTCCCCACCCTCAGGTCTTTGCCTTAGAGCAGAGTTTCCCAAACTTCTCTCAGGATGAGAATCACCTGGGGGAGTTGTTAAATTACAGATTCCTGAATCCCAACGGAGAAGTGCTAAAACTGGAATGCTTACAATTTTACCTATAGGTTCCCAAAAATTCCAGTTTTAGCACTTCTCCGTTGGGATTCAGGAATCTGTAGTTTAACAACTCCCCCAGGTGATTCTCATCCTGAGAGAAGTTTGGGAAACACTGCCCTAGAGCATGCTGGGAGTCAGGTCCCTCCGTGGCCACTTTCAGACAATGCTCAGCTTCCCCACCAGGAGGCAGCATCTCCCAAGGTGCCCACGTCTGCTGGGTCAACCAGCTCTACTCCTTATGCGTGAACGCTCCTAGAACAGCCCGGCCACGTGCGAAGTGCTTCCTGGGTCATGTGTGGCTCGTTCACTCCTGGCAACCACGTCCCAGGGAGGTCCTTGTTTCCTGGAGTCGGAGTCACTGACCCAAACTCACACACAACGTCCCATTGGCCTTGACCTCCTCACGGCCTCGCCTCACCTGTCCCCCAGCCCAGGACTGGTTCCCTGACTCTTGCCTGCCAAACCACAGCTCTCTACATCGGCATCGGGGGCAGAGCCTGCTGTGGCACAGGCTGTGTGACCAAAGACAAGTTACCCAACCTCTCTGAGCTCTGGTCTCCTCACGGACAACTCTGCGTAACGACCTCCCGCAGCTGCCGTGAGGATGACGGGAGAAATGGCTCCTGAAGGCATTCAGCCAGGGCAGGGCTCACAGGGCGGGCTCTGCAAATATTGGCTGTCCCTTTTTATTCCCCTTTTAATTTATTTTTATTAATTTCAGAGAGGACAGGACGGGGGGAGAGAGAGAGAGAGAGAGAGAGAGAGAGAGAGAGAGAGAGAGAGAGAGAAACATCAGTGATAAGAATCACTGATCGGCTGCCTCCAGCACGCCCCACACTGGGAATCGAACCTGCAACACGGGCATGTGCCCTGACCGGGAATTGAACCGTGACCAGGAGAGAGGGTGCACCTGGTTCATAGGTCGACGCTCAACCACTGAGCCACACTGGCCGGGCAGCATTGGCTGTTCTTCATGAGACAAGAGTCATCCCTGCCAGGGTGGCCGATGGCATCGTCCCATCGGCTGATAACCCAGAGAGAAAGCATGCCAACAGTCTGGCTCAGGGACCCCACTCCTGAGAATGTATTCAGGGGAACAGTGGGTGGTCATCAGACGTGCACCTGAGGGTGACCCTCCTGGTCTTGTTTGTGCGAACTAAACTCTTGGGGGATCCTCCGGGATGCCCAGGGCATGAAGGGACGTTCTCCTGGTCTGACCAAGCTGGTGGCGGAATGTCCCCGAGCGCCGCCTCTGCCCCAATGCCCCGGGATCCAGGCTGAGCACGGCAGCTGGCATTCCGAGCCACCAGGCCTTGGCCGGCTCAGCTCTCACCTCGACACCTCCCTGCCCCTCCGTTCTCGCCTCCGCCGATCCCTCGCCGTTCCCGGGAGATGCCCTGTACACCTGGCCTCCTCGCCTTTGCTCAGGCTGTGCCATCTGCCGGGAATGCCCTCGCCACACCCACTTCCCTCTGCTCCCAGCCTCCGGTGCCCTCTCCCAGTCAGAACCATCTTGCCGTGCAGCCCTCCATCGTCACAAGAGTCACGAAATGACACCCACGGAGCCCATGAGTGGAGCTCTGACGAGGCACCAGGCATTCTGATCAGCATCGTGTTTGTGCAGCCTGCCTACGAGCCTATGACAATGCCGCCGCCATCATCCTGCGGGTGGGCTTTACATCCTGCCTGGCTGGCGTGGCTCGGTGGTTGAGCATCGACCTAGGAACCAGGAGGTCACGGTTTGATTCCCGGTCAGGGCACATGCCTTAGCAGACCTGGCCTTCAGCTCTTCCCAAGGAGCCTCTGTCTGCTGGCACCAGCCATGCCCTTTGGTTCCCATCTGCCCACGCCTGGGTAACTTGCTCCCCTGGCGGTAGCTGTGCCAGGACCTGGGGCTCAAGCCTGCGTGTCTGTGTCCCTGGTTGGCAGCACAGTGGTCAGGTGGGTGCCGGGGGTAGGGGTGGGAGGGGGCAGGACGCTGGGCTTTGCGCCTCCAGCCTTGCCTGGCCTTCTGGGAGTTTCCTTGGACGAGTGGCTTAAGCATTGTGTGTCTCTATTGCTCCAGCTGCCCGATGGGCATAACACCTCCCCTACCCACGTGGATTGCAGACAGAGACACCCAGGCCTCTGCTGTGACTAACTAATAGAAGGTCTAGAACGGACCAGTCACTCCTTCTCTCCTTCTTTGCACAAGCAGGGCCTTGGAGAAGTGGTGTTAGGGGGCGACTCAGAGCCATGTCTCTGGAGTAAAGAAAAAGCAAAGAAAAAACACCTTGGCTTTGGGCCCCCGCTCCTGAACGGCTGTGTGATGCTGGGGGCGTCACCTCTCGGAGCTTTCATTCGTTCCCTTGTCTGTCAGGCCATGAGGAGCAGCCCCAGGGTAGGCATGAGAGAGAAATGAGCTAAACTCATAAAGTGCTTGGCACTCTGGGTGGTACATAGAGAGCACGCACTGAATGGTAGCTCTGACATCATCACCATTGTTGTCATCATCACCATCATCACCATCATCATCACCATCATCACCATCATCACCACCATCATCATCATCGCCAGACAGCTGCTAGAGTCAGCCATGACTTCCTTTGTTTAAAACACCAACTGTAAGTTCCAAGGGAACAAAACAAGGGTGGGAGGGCTGGGTGGGGGGAGCTCTGCACCCTGAATCAGGAAGAGTCTTCATGGGAGCACCTCCTACCTACCTGGGGGGGCAGCCACTGCCAGACCTCTGGGGGCTGATTGCCTGAGTCTCCAGGAGAGCCCATCCCCCTCCAGGACTCTGTTCCTGTCCGAGGTGCTGAAATCTGCCCGGGTAGGCAGGCTCCTTCCTGTCAGGCTCCTTCCGTCCTTGGTCACCGGCTCCCTCGCTCCATTCAACTTCACAAGGATACACTGTGAAGTTGTACTCCTTACATATACACGGAGCGGCCAGATTATTGTTTATTATGGTCTCTGAACACATAATAACATAATGATCTGGCCACTCGGTGGGTGGGTATATATATAGTGCATGGGTGGAGTCCAGCCAGCCTGGCCAGGGGGGGGGGACATGGGCAGTTGGCCGGCCTGCCTGCTGGTTGAACTCCTGGTCTAGGGGACAATTTGCACATTAGCCTTTTATTCTACAGGATATACACGGAGTGGCCAGATTACTCTGTGTTCAGAGATCATCATCATCGGGCCATTCAGTGTTTTGTATATGCTATCTAGGGAGTAGACGTAAAAAAAAATAAATTAAAAAAAATAGATACATCTCCAACCCAAATTGCTCATAGTTCTTTTCCGTGTAATATATTTTTTATTGATTTCCGAGAGAAAGGAAAAGGAGAGAGAGAGAAAAATATCAACGATGAGAGAGAATCATTGATGGGCTGCCTCCTGCACATCCCCCACTGGGGATCATCTATAATACAACCTAGCCACGTGCCGTGACCCGGACTCGAACCGTGACCTCCTGGTTCATAGGTCGACGCTCAACCACGGAGCCACGCCGGTCGGCCGGCCTCATAGTTCTCGGGGAAGGAATTCAGGCATCGTAGGAGATGCGAGGGCCAAGGGCAGGTGATTCCTTTTCCTACTTCTGGGGTTTCCGTGACCTCTGACCCTCACTTCTTTCTCTTCTGCGACATTGGCCTCCTCCGAGGCTGTGCCTCTCCTACCTTTCCTGATGTGACCACAGCCTCTGAACCTTCCCCAAAGTGGCTCCTTCTCTACTCGCTACGGTCAGAGTCAGGGGAGCTAATGATCCGTGTCTGGAGGGAGGACGGGACAGACAGACGTAGACAGAAGGGGAGGGTCCGAGGTCTCTGCGCAGGGACGCAGCACCTAGATGGGGGTGAGCTCCTCCTCGTACTTCTGCATGCCCTTGTCCGGGAGCAGCACCTCCACCGTGAAGCTGACCTTCTTGGTGTGGACGAAGCTGTAGGTGTTGTCGAAGCGCAGGACGTCTGAGGGGGAGGGGACAGAGGGACAGGCGGGGGGCTGGAGGCCTGGCTTTGCACGCCTGTGTCCCTACCCCCGCCGTGGGGGGGCGCGCTGGCTGTGTTTTCCCTTCCTGCGTTTGCCAAGCCGAGCCACGTTCCCACCACTCCTGTTTCCTTCCCCATGGGAACTGCCACCCCTGAGCCGGGCCTGGACACCGACGCTGACCGCCTCCTGGCCGGTGTCCAGCCCGGCTTCAGTTGCAGCGGAAACAATGGCCACCGCATCCGATTGTCTCCGCACCTGGACGCTTGCGTCATGGGGGCCGGCGGGGGGCCATCGGGGAGCATCGGGGGCCGCCCAGCCCCTCCCTGGGGTTCTGGGACAGGCCTGCACATGCCCGCTGCCGCCCCACGGGCACCCCTACTAGCAGGGCTTGTAGTCTCTGCTTCACAGGTGAGCAAGCCAAGGGCCCAGACAGGAAAGACGTTCGCCCGAGGGTACGCGGCTAGCACCTGGCCGAGGCGGCCTCCTGGCCCACACGCAGCTGTGTGGCTCTGTGCCCAGCCTCCTCCTGGGGGAGGTGCACCTGTCCCATCATCCCTTGCCTGTGTCCCGTGAACCAAGGTTTCTCAACCCCTGTAGCGTCCGTGGGTCTCTTGGCTCTTGGTGCACACAAGTGTGGACCAAGTGAGCAGCTTTCAACCCTGGCCAAAGGGTCCTGGGTTCGATTCTGGTCAAGGACATGCGCACCTTGGTTGCAGGCTCCTCCTTGGCCCGGGCCTTGGTAGGGGCCCGTGTAGGTAGCAACCAATCAATATGCTTCTCTCACATCCATGTTTCTCTCTAAAAAAAAAAAAAAACCAATGGAGCCCTAACCAGTGTGGCTCAGTGGATAGAGCGTCGGCCTTGCTGACTCAAGGGTCCCCGGTTCGATTCCGGTCAAGGGCATGTCCCTTGGTTGCGGGCACATCCCCAGTAGCATGTGTGCAAGGGGCAGCTGATCGATGTTTCTCTCTCATCGATGTTTCTAACTCTCTGTCCCTCTCCCTTCCTCTCTGTAAAAAAAATCAATTAAAAACATTTTAAAACATAACATTAAATAAAAATTAAAAGATCAATGGAAAAATACCCTCGGGTGAGGATTAGCCGAGCGAGCAGCTTTGTGAATGAGTGGCACCAACATAGACGGCCTGTGCCTGGGGCATGGGGCAGTGCCCCCCTTCCCCCCTCTACACCTGGGACACGTGGCTTCAGCCCTCAGGAGCTGGGTGGGGGGTGGCGGTGCACTCACAGACGCCAGCCTCCGAGCAGGTGAGGCTGCCGTCCTCGGGCACCATGTGGGCATTGTAGCGCTGGCTGGGCAGCACCTCGGTCATCTCCCCAGCTCGCTGCCGCTCCCCCATCTTGGTCTTCAGGAAGATGCCGAAGCCAATGTCCGCCCCGTCCGAGTAGAACTGCCACCTGGACATGGGGGTGGCGGGCGAGGGACACGTTTCTGCTCCGTCTGAGGGGTCCCCCAGGGGCTGGCACCCCGCGGGGGGGGGACGGGGGCCTGTCCCTACCTGAGGACGCAGCCCGGGAACAGGATCTCGTACTCCACCTGGTGCGAGGACCCGCGGCTGATCTGCACTGAGTGCTCGTACTGCGTCTTCACCTGGTCCCTCACGTACAGGGACTTGGGGACCTCCCCGCCGTAGTTGATCTGCGGACATGGGGAGGGGACAGGCCTGGCTCCCGGCTTCCAGCCGTCGCGTTGTTTACGCTGGCGCATGGGCCTGAGACGCTTTCACCGTTTCCTGGAACATTCTGCTCATCCTGTCCTCCCCCGCCCCGCCCCTGACCCTCCAGGCCGGGTCAGGGCCTCCTCTGGGAACTTCCTCTTCCAGCTCGTCATCCCTCTGGGCCGAAATGTCCTCGTTCCTTGTTCTGTTCCCCTGCACGGCTGCTGCTGCTGGAAGGCGGGGCTGGGCCTGGGCAGCGCCGTACCTCGCTAACAGGGGTCTCCCGTGAACATTTGTGGGATGGATGGGTGGGTGAGAAGGCCACCCAGCTCTCCTCCCCTCCCCGGCGTGGCCCAGGGCTCTCTGTACCTTAGTTAAGCATTTGGGGTTCCCGTCTGGGTCCGTCATGGTCCCCCCAAACTGGACAGGCAGTTCCTCGGGGCTGATGCTTTTCAGCAAACCTTCTTTCCAGTTGTCTGGGGTCAGGGGCGTTGAAGGACAGTTACTGGGCATGAAGGGAATCTGTCTTCCCAACACCCACTCCCGCCGGGAGGGCCTGAGCTAGGCTGCCAGGGCCAGCTCCCCCGCCGCCCAGGCCTCAGGCTGCTATGGAAACATGGTTCCCCGTGGCTGATGGGTTTGCACATTTTTGAGAGTCTCCCAGTCATTGAATAAGAGTTGTTTAACTGTCTCACAGAAATTATCTTCTAGAAATAGCCCCAGCCGGCTTGACTCAGTGGATAGAGCGTCAGCCTGTGGACGGAAAGGTCCCAGGTTTGATTCCAACCAGGGGCACATGCCTGGGTTACGGGCTCGATCCCCAGTAGGGGGCATGCAAGAGGCGGCCAATCAATGATTCTCTCTCATCATTGATGTTTCTCTCTCTTTCCCTCTCTCCTTCTCCCTTCTTCTCTGAAACCAATAAAGAAATATTTTTAAAAAAGAAAAAAAGAGAAATGTATCTTGTTTTTTTTTGTTTTGTTTTTTTTTACTATTCACACTGCTTTATAATCAACTTTTTAAAAAGCTTAATCAAATCATTTTCTTTTTTTCTTTTTTTTTCAAATTTTTATTTTATTGATTTTGTACAGAGAGGAAGGAAGAGAGATAGAGAGTTAGAAACATCGATGAGAGAGAGTCATCGATCAGCTGCCTCTTGCACACCCCCTACTGGGGATATGCCCGAAACCAAGGTACATGCCCTTGACCGGAATCGAACCCGAGACCTTTCAGTCCCCAAGCCGACGATCTATCCATTGAGCCAAACCGGTCCCGGCAATCAAATCATTTTTCATGGCTGCCCAGTAATGTATCAAATACAGGCATTATTTACTTATCCAGTCCCTTCTTGCTGAACCTCCCTTCTCTGAATCACGTCTCCTTTTCCTGCTTTTTTCCCCTCATCTTCCTAAACCCAAATGGCCCTCAGAAGTGTTGAGATGATGAGAGTTGAAAGGACACTGAGGCCGGTAACCAAGAGGTTGACTAGCAACCAACGGAAACCAATAAGGTCAATCACAGGGGACACCAACCACCGATCACAGGGAGCAAGGCAGAGGTAGCTGGGTGGTAGGCTCCACAGTGCGAGACCCACCTCCCCCTTGAGAAAGAGAAGTCTCTGCCTCTGGGTGATGGGTGGACGTCTGGGTGGAACAATAGGCCCACCTCCCTCCACAGCTCATGCACAAAGCCCAGGGGACGCCAACCAGAGCTTCTTACTTCCCAGCACTACAATTTTTCTGCGCGTGTCCTCACTGAGGAAGGGCTTCATGAGGTTGTAGCCCACAGGGAACAGTTTGGTGGCTGGAGAAACACAAGCAAAGACTACGGGTAGAAAGAGCTCCACTGGCCCACCGTCTCCAGAACAGTCATAGCCAACAGTATGGAGGAATCGTGAACCATCCAGCCAACTGGTCAACCAACCAACAAGCAACAACTAGCCAACCATTCAATCAATCATCCAGTCTATCAACCAACCAATCAGCCAACCAGCCAACAGATGTCCAATAAATTCACTGTCTAACCAGCCCACCAATCGCCCGCCGACCAATCAGCCAACCTATCTGATAGTCGAACAACCAATTAACACACCAGCTACTCAGCAAACCAACAAGCCAATTAAACAACCAGTTCATTGTCAAGCCAACCAACTAAACAACCAGCCAGTTAACCAACCAACCAACCAGCCAACCATCAAACATCCATCCATCCTTCCCTCCACCCACTCTAATGACAACCACCCAAATACCCATGGGGCATCCACATGGCCCAGGCTTCAAGGAGTGGAAAACCCAGCAAGGAAAACAGGATGAACACACACAGGACAACTGGTGGCCCCAGAAGGCAGCAGACAAGGAAGGCCAGAGGCAGTCTAAGAAGGGAGAGATCAATGAGGCGGGAGAGCTGAGGGGGGCAGGTGGGGGCGGGGGGAATTCCTGAAAGAGCTGGGGCCGGAGCTGCCTCCTGGTGCCGTAAGGCCAACCACAGAAGCTTCCATGCAGGGAGCCCTTCCTTGGTGCCCGGCACTCGAAGTGATTTGCATGCAGTCCAGCCATCCACCTGCCTCCCTGCAACCCGGGGAAGGAGGCCCAGTTCTCATCCCCAAGGGTACACACAGATGAGGAAAAAGAGAGGTCGCTGGCCACACACCTTTCAAAATGAACAGGCTCTTCAGTGACTCCGGGTAATTCTCTTCAAGGAGGCTAAAGAACTGTGGGACCAAGAGAGACCCCCTCAGAGCCCGCCCCTCATCTTCCCCGACCCCCATTGCCTTTGCAATCCAGAGAGCTGCGTGGGGGGGGGGCGGGGGGGTTCTCCTGCTTTCCATCACCTCCACTGGCCTCTACGTCTCACCTCAGACTACGGCAGCCATGCCATCATAATCACGTAAAGTAAGATTACAGTAACGACAGTATCATAATACTCATGACCACTATTTACTCCATGCTCGGTGTTTGCACGCACAGAGTATACACTTTACATATTCACTCGCCGGAATGTCCGGGTATCCCTCCAAAATGCAGACTATCGTTATCCCCAGTTATGTACTCAAGTCACGGAGCTGGGGGTGACGGGGCTGGGAGGGCCTTGGAGGAAACGGGCCCCTGTGGTCTCAATAGTGTTGTCCCCAAGGCCTGTTGGGCGGGGCCTCCTGGGAAGTATATCTCTGGGTCCTGAGTCACGTGATGGGGTCCCCTGGAAGGCTACCACCTTCTACCAAATCCTGGCTGTGAGTGAGCAGCCAGGCCACGGCAAGCCGAGCTGGTCATTAAACCACAAGGGAGCTTCTCCTCCTCACCTCC